AGGAGGACTTGATCGGGAGAGGGCACTAGTCATTTGCCTTTTCATCAGATGGCACTTGACCCCGGCAAAATGCGCGGAGAGAGTCAAGAGGTGGGCAAAACAACATAATGCATATATATATACAGTATACATATATATATATATGTTGACCGTTCTTTTGGTTGCACCAAGCATCAACTTGGGATGTTTGCTATTCAATAGGAATTCAATAATGGTATATAAATGCTGTCGGGTTCTGATCATTTTGGATGCAGGCCACAGGACATCTCAAACCCACAGGTGGCAGGTAAGCAAAAGCGAAGAGATCGGTTGCACATCCAACTAATTTGTTGAAAGGAAAAGAGTTTGGAAAAAATCATGGTGAGAACACGTGTTAAGATTTGTTAACACCGGTCATGGACATCCTCGAAAGGACCGTTCTTTTCTCAGGTGTTCATTGAGTGCCATGACCCACATTCATAAAGATAAAACACTCAGGAATCCTCAGGTTTTAAGACTGTTGAAATTATAGTCTCTCTCACAAGTAAGTCATCTTTGAGCCGTGCCATACCCATCTCATATAACTGCTGGTTCTCTTGGTGGAACCCTCCAAAAGTCAAGTTCCAGCTTGGAGCCTTTTCTCACGGTGAGCCTCTTCTGCCACCGGTTCAAAAATGCCCAAAACAGCCGAGCGCCCACAGTAGAGCTGCTAAGCAGCGCGAAAACAGATTCGTCACGTATACCAGCGACGTACAAAAGGGAGATGAGGAATCTGCTATTCACTCTTCACAGGGGGCGGTTGGTAGATGTCACACATTTGGAGAACATGTGGCTACAGGTGTGAAAGGGATTCGGAATAATTGTGGAATTCTTTTCTCCGGTGGAGCCGGGCATGATACAAAAAGCGCTTCGTCCTGCAGCCCATGGGCGTGTTGGAGGGAGTTCCTTGCTGCCCAGTTTTTGTCTTCCGATCAGACTCCGTGCTGGAGCATGTCAATCGGTCTATATAACCTTTGCCATGGAGAGTGAGGTAAGACCTGATACCTGCACATCAAAATGGCGTGATGAATAACAACAATGCAGGCTCATGCAGGTGCCAATGAACTAAGGTGCACCAGGTTGAAACACACACGCACGTTTATTATTAACTTTGGATACAAGTTCTGGCACAAGTCCGTTGCACTTGGAGTTGCAGTTATGAACTTGTCCATTTTGGGGGGTAGGTAACGCTCCACATGTTCAATTTTTCGCCTGATCTCCTGGATGCTGTGATCAGCCGGTGCAATAGTCATGAGACTGATTCATTTGTTGGACCAGCTGGTCGGTTGCCGCAGGCAGTAGCCTTCTGCGGCCATTTCGACCAGCTGCAGGGCAGAGAAAGGCGGAACCTTGGGACATGCGACATCAATGGTTGCATTCCAAGTGATTTGGCACCAATTTTGCTTGAGGACTTGCGTTCACCACCGACGGTCACGGTCTTCTTCAGAGGATGCCAAATATGATCTTAAGTGATCTTCAGCGATCATGGAACTCACGAAACATCTTTCCACCCGCTTATTTTGAAGAAAGGGTGACGACTTGTGGGACTGTCCCTGTGGATGAATCCCCCATCATCCCGGGGAAAATCGGTCAACGAATCCGTGTTGTTGTTGGTATTTATTGTCCCGGTGGGTTCCGACCTCGTCTCGTCTCCAGACAGGTGCCGGGACGTCTCGTCTCGTGCAGGTGCCTGGAGCGTCTGGTGGAGCTGTTTGGCGCTTGGAGGCCAGCTGTGGCCTTGCAGTGTCTTGGTGGCCTGAGGGATGGGAGGGTGACTGGGTGACTGTGTGTATGACTGTTTGGGGTGATAAGCTTGACAAAGAGGATAGATTGGGGATGGGTGACCCTGTTTGACATGGCATATGTAGTGTAGCTCAACAATTGCGAATGCACATCTGTGCCATTGGCATTTGCAGGAGTTTGGTATTTAGGTTGCCTTTGCTTGGGGTGTGTGTGTGTGTGGGGGTTTCCATGGAATTGTCAGAGGTGCCCCTTGTCTATTGCGTGGTTGTTATAATTCCTTGACAACTGGAGAAGGAAAGTCTCCTGAGACCTTTAGTCCCTCTAGTCCAGATCAAACCTTGGGCCGCTTGGAGGCCTCTTCTGAGGCCTTTAGAGGGCAGAACGAGCTATTGCTTTGTGTATAGTGGGGAAAAAGCACTTGCACTCTGAAGTACTTCTGAAGCCGCACTTTGATGACCTCACAAAATGGTGGCTACTTGCAAAACGCACTGGTCAGTAACGTTTTATGCGGCCTTTTGAAGGGCAGTAGTTGAGCAGGTGTTTTGTTCGCACGACAGCGGGGTCGGGAAGAGGTCGTTTGGCCATCAGGTTCAACTTGGATCCCCAGAAATGGTTCGATTTGACCATCCCAATCACCCATGGCCCTTCACGATTGGTTGATGAGGGGTTACCCAACTTGCTAGGTGAACAACAACTTGGTATGTGGATTCACCAATCGGACCCCCTCGATTTGTCCAAAAGGACCTCCTTGATCCCAACAGCCCGCTGGGCCCACAGCGCCTCAGGTGGCCGCGACCCTGCGCCGCGCCGAGTCCCGAAGGTCGCGGCGGCTGTCGCAGCGGGCGACGGCGGTGGAGGCGACGGAACTGGTCCCAGGAAGGGAGGGTCGGATGGTACAGTGACTTTGTGCAGATACCCTAGTAATTTTGGGTGGTTGTAGTGAGTTCTTTGCGGAAATGGATCCTTAGTAAGCTTGTATTTACTCATATTTTGACTATACCCAGATTTAGAAAGCCTCTTCTTTGGGCACCAACGTGGATAGTTGGAAGACCAAAACTGCTCGAGCTGTTAAGCTGATCTGGGGACTAACAATGAGATGACCTACAGCCTGTCTACAGCTTTAATTGTTGTGCGGGCTTTTGCTCCTGCATGCGAAGTCCGGGAGATTGACCAGATGGACATCAAAGACAAATCGCATCCAACAAAAATAAGAAGGTTCTGGTTCCCCATGTCGATCCTACGGAGGATGGTTGGTCCATTCTCAATACCACTCACACGGTGGCCCATGTGATCGGTTCACCATCGACGTTCAGGAGGTCTCAACCACTGCTACAGAAGAGTCAGGCGTGAGGGAAGGTGAGGTGATGGGTTGAAGCAAGCAGCTTGCCTGTGTGCCACAGCGTGCCATAACCTGATTTGACATGGTGTGGTGGTCATTCAAAACCGCATATGTTTGTCAACCAACATGTTGTCATCCAACATGAGTTGAGTTGTTTGTGGAGCCAAGCATGTTTTGGATTTGTCACAAATGGAGTGTGGAGTCTTCGATCCTTTTCCCTGGCTGGATCGGTTGTGGAGTGGCTCAACAGAAGAAAACCTACGTAGGCAGCGCAGTGTCGTTTGGTCCACCATTTCCCGGCTACTACTGAGCCCCCAGGACATGCAACTTGACTCCTGTTGGGTAGCAAAACTCACTTGTTGTGCGGTGTCATCATGCCCGTGTTTAACACCTCATCCACGGATATGGTGCTTGGTTTTTTAAATTGAGCACAAGCTGCCTCAGACAGCCATTTTCTGGAAGCTGCTGAGAAGATCTGGAGAAACAAGGAAAAAGGATGAAAACATCTGCTTCCTTCCTCCCGAACCAGCTCAGACTGCCCTGCCAGGTTCGTCTTGGAAATACGACCTCATCCGCTCAGTGGGCGAGGACGGGAGGATCCTCATGCCTGGTCGTGCCGATCGTGCGGCCCCACGACGTCGACGCCTTAGACGGCCGTCTCACGGAGACAATGTGGATCTGCACGATGCGCCATCTCTCATTCTCGCGTTAGCCAAGCACTGGAGCCAAGCAAAAACCACCCCGTTGCGGGCTGGTCAGTCCGTCAGATGTTTTTGAGTGGTTAGTCACGTCGGCTGTTCACCAGCAGGGGAGTCTGTTGATCCTGGTTTACCGGTTTACCTTTCAACTTGCAGCTTCGTTGTTTCAGTCGGACTTCGCTGCCAAACTCTGTGACCCGTGAAGTTGTCGGTTGCCACTCTGGTACTCGTGTCAGACAGAGGAGTGCCAGACAGAGGCAGAGCTGCGGAAGCTGGTGGAAAAGAAACCGGACTTCGCCACTGGGACAGGAGAGATGTGGGGTAGATGGTTGTCCAGTTGTCGATGCTACGGAGATATCTAGGTAGACGGGTCATTGAGAGGCATGAGACGCCCTTTGCTGGGTTGAACATAAGTAAGTCATCCACCAGTCCCAATTCATCCCCCCATCATGTTCTTCCGGCCGTTCGCATGAAGTGTGTGACGGGTTAGAGAGTTTTCACCCAGTTGGAGCAGGTACCTGGTGAAGCTGGCTAGGTGTTGCTGACGTTTCAGTCTCCTGGCACTCCGGTCATCTTGCGTGTCCGGTCGCATCACCGAGCCATTGTTTGTGATCTACGGCAATGGTATGTTTGGACGTGACAAGCTTTACACAAGTTACAGTACTCATGTCATCAGGGATCAAGTTGTTATATTAATAGTTTGGATTGTCCATTCCATGTCTCTTTCCGAGGGCAACAGCTGTATTTGTCGATCCTTTGTGGAAGCAGCTGGGAACGCACACTGTCGCGCCGAAACGCGGCAAGCCCCAGGTCTGCTATGATGGCTTCGAGCCCTCGGGACGGATGCACATCGCGCAAGGGGCACCTTGGTGGCATGGGGCGCGTCAACGTAGCTGCGCTACCTCTGAAGAAGTTATGATTTCGATGTAAGCATCCCTTACTTAAGGACGACATGTAACAATCAAGAAAAAGCAATGCTTTAGGACATGTATACCTGCCTTCGGATGCATCTGGATGCGTTTGGTACCCTGAGCCATTTCAGGGCCGTCTAGATGGGTCGGTTTGTTTCCATTGAGTCCAATCCGACCATCTTCTGTTTGTTCGGCAAGGTCTACAAATCCGTCTGCGTGAACAAATGCACGAAGGCGGTTGCAAAAGGGCGGAAAAAGCGGGCTCCACAGACATTGTTTAGCCGTTTTCTATGTTTCATACATATATATATATATATACACACATGGGGGTCGTTCAACCCTTTGCATAAGGACGGGCTTTGGAGAGGACATGTCAGAAAGATAGGTCATGTTTCTGTGCCTTGCAAGAAGGTGCAAGTATGGGTGAGTGCCAACCATATATATATATATATATGTGTGTGTGTACTACTTGCTACTTGCTGCCTACTGCCTACTGCCTACTACCTACTACTACTACTACTACTACTACTACTACTACTACTACTACTACTACTACTACTACTACTAGGACGACGACGACGACGACGACGACGACTACTACTACTACTACTACTACCACCGAGTCAGAGCTCCAGGGAAAGCAATCCTTATGAGGTTCGAGCGCGCCACTCACAAAATATATATATATATGCAAAACATGCCATGCGCGGAGAAAGGCGCCAGGGCGAGTGCAAGTGCCTTTCAACATCACACCTGCAACCAAGGTTTAGAACAACCCCATATGTATATAATTGTTCACTGTTCTTTTTACCACGATGCGACCACGGTTGTTTCCAGAAGCTCGGACATCAAAGTTTCTGAATTGGTGTTTTGCTGTTTCATATGACTTTCGGGGAGGAAGGGATGGCACTGGACTTGGTTGGAAGTTGAGAGGCCATGAGTGGCGACAGAGTTTCATACGTTCCCACCAGGCCAGCTCTGCTTGTCAGGCTGGCGGGCAATTCATTTTCTGGGTGGCAGATTGGTTCGCCCTCATGAACGACAAGATGGGTGGATGCTTGGCCGCGCAACGCGGTGATGGCTACGTGACGTTACCCGAAAAAAGCGCCTCAAAGAGGAGTAGTTTGGTGGAAATTGGTCATGAACCACAAACTGTAGGGGTGAGACATGCTGGAACAAGGGTAACACAGGCTCCCAAGCAGCAGTGGAACCCAAGGAAAGGTGTTTTTGGTTGAATTCTTCCAGAAGGCTTTAAAGACTTGCAACCTGTGGGGTTTACACAGTCCCGGTGGCACTTGCAAAATTAGAGCAAACCCTGCCGGTGCTACTATTTGGATATCGTTCGACACCCTTGATCAAGAAACATATACATCAAGTACTCTAGCCTGGTGTAGTTCCAGCTTGGCCATGTCGAAAGGCACGCAAACACTACTGTAATTGTAGTCTGTTTTGAGGAGACATCGAGAAGATCCGCACCGTCGGGAAGTGCCGACCTCGGACCGCAATGTTTGGGGAGCGAATCGGTTGTGGCACGTTGTGGTCTAGATCTCACGTGCAAACAATGGATTTAAATGGATTTAAGATGATCTAAGGATCAAGATCTCTTTGATTACCCGCTGAGACGGTGCACCATTGAAATAGTTCCTCTTCTGACTCTTGTGTATATGGATCATCCACATAGATGTTTCAAAGAATGAGAGAGGGGGAGCCGGGAGCGATAAAATGATGTTATATAAAAGATCTAGGTCAACTGAGGATCAATCTAGTTGATATCCCTGCTGCGCTTGGCTCAATGAATGTTAGCATTTGCCCAGATAGAACCCCTGGAAGTAAGGTTTAATGTTTCGATGACACTGGGGCTCGGTGACAAGACGTCCCATCTAACCAAACCTGATGCTTTGCTTGGACCTCCCATTGGGCAAACAGAAGTCTATATATAGATGGCTCAAAGTCAATCAATAATCAAGATCCATGTGTTTTGTGTGTCTTTGTCGCATGTGATCATGTGATGGAAGAGTCATAAGTCATGGCCGCTGGCAGGGCCATTCACCACGGAAGTTCCTCAAGCAGACCTCCATTCCCCCTGATTTCAGCCAGGACCGCACCCAGCCCCACAGCCGTCTCTGTCGTTGCCCCACAGCAACCGGTTGACCGGTACCGAGCCTATGGGGGGCGTTCCCAGCTGCAAGGCCGGAGGGGGACCGACGCCAACAGCTGGTTCATCTGGGAAGAGGAACATTTGGAACATTATGGAACCTGCATTCCTCCACCAAGCAATGGGCTTTTCAATTATTTTCAGGTTCCATGCTGCTAGTTGTGCGACTGTAACAGAAATTCCCTCAAATGGCTGCCTTGAAGAATCCCTTCTGGTGGGGTTCCACCAGGTTCTCCCAGTTTCTGGATCACATGTTGGATTCTTGGAAGAATTCTTCGTGGTGCCTTCTATTTCTGACTGGGGCAAACCACGCAAACTGGGAGAAGCTGCGGGCCCTTCGCGTGGCGTGGGACGGCGTGGGGGGGGGGCGACACGTGAAGATCAAGGTTGGATGCTACCCCGAGGAGTCCATGCTATGCGAACAGGTAGCATGCGGAACGGCGCAACGTGCTCAGGTTGAACTGGAAAATGGCCCCCGAAGGCCATGGAAGGCCTTTTCTGATCTCTTCAAACACAGGTCAAACAGGTTGCAGACAGCCTCATGACTGCAGTTCCTAGGCCATTTGTAGAGGTGCAGGACTCGCGTGCTCCTTCAAACGCCAGCAGGTGATCAACCATGGTGTTTGTGGCCTTCCACCCGCCTCCCGGGACAGCGGGAAGGGTAGAAACGAGCGAGCTCGACCTCGATCAGTTGAGGTTCCCTGGCTTTGGTACCAAATGGTACAAGTCTAACATGACAGACTAGGCTTTAGCAGATGTTCCCAACAATTTTTGCCTTTAGGTTTTGACTGCAGCTACTGGATGGAACATGTGTGTGGCGACTTGTGCGCAGTATGCAATGCACAGTCCATCAAGAGTGAGACAAGCATCAGGACTGTGCGCAGTCCGAGTGCCCTAGACATCCTAGACATTCAAATTCGTAAGCCAAAGATGGGGAGAAATCGTGGCAAGCCCAGACATCCGCGCTTCAATTGTGAATGTATCTTTGATGACTGTCGGTGTTCATGCCCACCACATGTCACATAGGGCTATAGAATGAACCATCCTTCCTTGTGGCTCGACAGGAGAGAGACTCCAGCTGCTGCAAAGTGCCTTGTCTAGCTTGAGGGTCAGCCAGAAAATTGCACGGTGCAAGAGCAGTTGGTGGGTTTGGGTCTCTGTCTATGCAAGCCAAAAGTGTTAATTGAGGGACCAATGCGTATGTACATGCACAATCATACACATATATGCACATATATAGTTATTATACACTGCGTCTACGAAGGTATCAGTACCTTGACCCGACGACAGCAAAAGCGGGTGTGTTGCCCTTGTTAAAGGCTGTGCCTGGCCTAAAGGCCGTTGGGCTTAAAAGCTAAGAGCCTGGCCTGGTGAAGAGCGGAAGTTTGTCCTGTTGCCATCCAAGCCAAAGTAATATTCACATTCAGGTGCCTACAAGATGCTCGGATGAAGGTACTGAACCTGTGGAGGAGTACCGGTACCTGTTCAGTTTGTGAGGTGAGCAGAACAAGACTGAAGACCTGCCAGGTAACTTGCATCATCCACGGATTTTTGATGGTGCTGTTGAGCACCAGCCATTTGTAACCTAAGGAGGGCGGCTGTGGAGATCAGGCAAGGCATCAGGGTATTGAATGGCGGGGGTGGTTTCTCCCGGAGAGATATCATATTCTGAGATAACACCATATCATATCACATCATATCATATCTAAAATATCTCATACCATATTGAAGAGATATCATATAATATCATGTCATAAAATAGTAAAAGATACATTGCTATCATTTCACCAGGAAGACCTGAGGTTCCCCGAGACACATATATAACTCTATATATATATCACTATATAAGGGCTTTCGTGTTGACAACCATCCTGATGTTCTTCGTGTTGCCATGTTGGGCCCCAGTTGATCTCCAGCTTTCTCGGGTGGAAGGATCATGGACTCGGAGGGAGCGCATGCCGCCACGCCGAAGCTGGGGGCGTCCAACAGAATGTAGTTCATTGCTGGACGATTCTCTCTCTCTCTCTCTCTAAAAGAGATAAATGTATATATATTATATATATGTACACTGTATATATATAGAATTATAATTCTATATATAAAGGTTTACTTACTCTTTCCAGATTCTCCTGTGTAGACTCAGAAACCTCTTGTGTGCTCACTACTTGAACAAACATCCCAGCTTTGACCTTGTGTTGCGGGCCTTGGCAATCCACAGAACAAAAGCTTCACGTGGGTTGTCGTCTCCCAGCAAAGTGGTTTGACGACAGTGCGTGACGAGGAAATATGATGCCTGAGTATCACACTCGCGCGTTCGTACACAGGTGTTGAAAATACTGTCTTCTGATGTCTTCTGTTAACAATGGGCTTGAAGGAAAACCCGAAGAGAGTGATCATGTTTTAGCACACGCCTGCCAAATTGATAAAACATTGCATTCTTCAATAGAAACCTTTAAGGCTAAGTCCGCGCGGACGAAAAGACATTTGATCCGTGCTTCAGCCATTAGCAAATCGACGAATCGAAGTTGCCCCAAAAGATGTCAGGTTTTCGGCACGTTCAAGGTTTTGTTTACACGGCCCTCAGATGATGCGTTTGAATCGCTTAAGTGAGTACTTTATTGTCATATCAAGTCATACCATATCATGTCATATATTATCATGTCATATCAGATCGTTTCTTGCATCAATCTGTGTGGCGTAAGCTTGCCCATTGCTGCATCAGAGATATTGTTGTATTTTGTGCATTTTGAATGGGCGTATCACAGTGATACATCTGTAGTTAGGCAATATTGGGTAAGAGAGACTTGTTCAGGCGTTGAATGCAATTTTCAACTATATACTTAAGAATCTAAGGGTGTCTGTAAACAGTTTTCTTCTTCATGTGGGTTTGGATGATTGAAAGAAGCACGATAGACTTGAAGCTTTTGCACTTCGTCGCAGGTAGAACACCTAGGCGCTCGACGAGCGCGCTGACGAGCGCGCTGCTTCGCCGCGGCACTATGTTGGGCTGGTTCTTCAATGAAGTACTCAGGTCACTATGTTTGAAAAATATCTTGCACCAGCGGAGAGTAGATGGTGCGGTGTCCCACTCAACCTGCGGATCCACTGAACCAATGGCCAGCGAGTCGTCGCGAAGCCTCATGGCCAGGAGCTTCCAGTTCGGCATGGCCGGAACCTAGCCTTTTGGCAGGCCTGGTCTCAGAGGCAGAACTGAAGGAATTGCAGAGTTGTCCCTCCAATCCCGGGCAACATGCCTCCGGCGTTTCGCTACAGGTTCTGGCTCTCCTGCGTTACGCTAGAGAGCCGTACTTGTTGGTACCAACCTGCACCGATCACCTTGCACCAAACAGGTTGCTTGATTGTTGAAGCGAGTCACCACATAGTCGAGGGATGGCGTGGGCATATCGTTTGATACAAGAACATTCAGCACCACTCTTGGCACAGCTTCCAGGTGGGTGGTCACAGTACTGACAGCTGGATTTTCAGCATGTTTGCCCATTGTTTACTGAGGGGATCGCTTTGGTCATGTTGATGTCTTAGACTATCATATAGCGGATTATGTTTAATTTGGAAGGGTAAAGCTGAATTGGCCTTGGCCTTCTTCTACTTGGCCTTGTTCATACAGTAAGCCGCTTTTTGAGCGATTGAGTGGTGCAGACGATTCCCCTTCTTCGAAGCGAAACAACGAAGGTGGCAAATAGATCCCAACGCAACCGTGATCATCCTCGTTTCACGGGATTTCTTTGATTTGAGATGGATGGGTGAGAAGATCGTCATAGGTGGGTCATTCCTATTCCCTATGAGATTCACCTGTGTTCCTTAAGGGAATCCAGCTTATAGGGACCATAGGTGGATCATTCCCCTAGTTTTGCTTAATTTGGTGTCCCTTATAGAGTTGAGATTCACCCGTATGAGATGTTGTTTCTCCCTCCTTCTCCCCAGGAGAGATGGGAGGTCCTTTGTTCGGTCGGGGAGCCAGAGTCGTCACGAGTTGATGAGTGTTGCCATGTCGTCGCGACAAATGGCCAAGATGGAGATGGGCAAGCTGGAGCCCAGAACTCACCCTGTAGGTTGACCTCGACCTACCGTCCGTCAATTCTCTTCAACCGCCCTGACCGGGGACACCGCCATCTCTCCTCGCGGGCGATCCTGTAGCGGGACGGTCTTGGGGTGTGATGCCGTCTCGCACGGTCATGGCTCGACTACTCGAGCCAATGCCGCGGGGTGAGGTCGCGTCTGACCTTCGTCCTACCAATCTGGTAGGACGGTGTGTACCAGTTCCGAACGATGCTGAGGGTTTTTCATGTTTGAAAACATGGAGATTTGCAAG